AAAACTGTCAAGAATCATATGATCAGATTTTGAACTTGAGGGGTCAGTAGGGTAATCTAGCATGTTTTTTGACATGTTTTTTTTTTTTATAGAAACTTTTATTCTACAATAAAACTTTTTTCACATATCATGAGGAATATCGTGGAGTGTTTAAACACATTTTTTCGGAATTTTCTGATGACATCTATGGGAGAAATGGCTGTGTGAATGAGATGCGTTTTTTCACTGTCGGACACGGTTTCTCATGTTTGGATCATTTGATACACAAAAATCCACTTTATTCTTAAAAATGACGTCCCTACTAGAACCATGAAAAAATTAGTTTTGATAAATAAAAAAGTAATTAACGTTTTTTTTTTGGAAATTTTCCCTCTGTTTTTTAACATAATAAAATTGTCATCAAATTTTAAAAAATTATGAATGTAGTAGGGACGATAACCAGGCGTTTGTGAACATAAAAAAAAAAATTGAGCTAATCGGTTCAGTAGTTCGACCGAAATTCAGGTCCGGCAGTTTAAAAAAGTGTGTTTTGAGAAAAACGCATTTGAGGCGTGCACTCCGAGCGCTTCGAACGGCGAGCGGCGAAAAAACAAAAAAAAAAGAGTTTTTGTAAAAAGATTACCGTACGGATCCATTAAGTAACTATTGCAAAATTTAATCCACAAACATACTTTATATAAGCATATGTTCAAAGCAGATAAGCTCAAGTTTTAATACAGCCATTTATGTGAGAGACTGGAAATACTTGAATAGTTGAAACCAAAAAAAAAAAAAAAAAAAAAAAAAAAAAAAAAAAAAAAAAAAAAAAAAAAAAAAAAAAAAAAAAAAAAAAAAAAAAAATTTTAAGTAATGTTTTAGGACACCATCCTAACAATTGAGTAAAGGTCGTGAAGTCACTAAAAACTGGCCTCGTGCGTTTCATTTGTCCAGCATTGTCTATGAGGATAATATCAAATAAGTCAAAGATGGCAGAGGATCTTTTATAGACCGGCTCAATACATTTTGATTATTGTTATGAATATAAAGCGTATCACAACTAGACCCTTATCAAAATATTTAAATCTGTTGCAAGAAACGAGTAAAGGTCACAAAATATATGCTTGAAAGCATAGTTGAGGACCCTATAATCGTCAGAAACATCATTATTGATGACGATACATACATATGTCTATAAATATAGTTATCAACGAGACTGTTCAACATTGTAGCGATTGGCGTTCTAAAGATGAGCTGCACTGAACACCATTCCAAGCGAGTCTTATAAAAAGCATATGGAAAATGAAATTAAGTATTGGCATGCCTGTAATATCTCAGGAGGCTATTTTGAAGGTGAATAAAGAAGAAAGGCGAGGGTCGTGTGAAAGATCAGTACAAAATTATAGTAACATTCTATCCCTGACGGTATAAACGTATGTAGATATTTGTAGAAGGGCTTCGAGTTTGCAGATACGTCCATTTCGTTGACCTACATGACGATATATGCGAGAAAGAGAATCATGTATGTAACATGTAATGAAGATTTCAAACCATCTTATCATCATTTATTGCCGTGTGACGAAACTTCACTTTCACTCCACTGTGTTTCCAGCTTAAAGTGAGATTCGGAAACTTTATAAAGTGGTTACATGTGAGAAAAATTTAATTGTATATGCTATCTAAATACTCATGGCATGAGAAGACTAGTGTTAGGTATTCCAAATAAAGTTATGAGATGTCACTCAATTCCACTTTTCACAAAAGATTACAATATATCACAAAGATGATATTCTTGTTGCATAATCCTGATGTCCCAAAAGCGACAAAGGGTCAAATTACATTCAACTGAAATATGAATACATGAATTAAGAACACACACACATTCTCATCAACAAATCGGTATAATTGTCTGAGTTCAATCAATGGAACACATTTATTGCGCCTTTTCCACGCTTTTATTGTGCATACATGAAAAATATAATAACAATTGGCATAATAAAGCAATACGAAAATATAAAAATAAAAGAGAATTATGAAAAGGATAAGCACTGACAAGCAGCTGCATGAGAATAGCGGATAAGTGGAGCCAGGGTACCACAATACAAAATAGATAATGATATCCTTTGACAAGCTCGTCCACGACATGTCGTTCGAGTGTGTTTTGTATGTGTGGGTGTGTGTGTGTGTGTGCGATGCCGCTCTATCATTGTGGCGGCAATTGGAGCGCATTGTAATCGGTGTAGGTGGCTGCTCGGTTGGGTTCGAAACAACCCAATAACACTAATAAATGAGCATCGGCTGCCACAGCAACGCTGACACAAATCGACAACAATGCCAACAAACAAACCACGTACACAGAAAATGAATATAAAAACCAAAGTAAATAAGTTTGTACACCAAATATTATCTGCTATTAATACGGGGCTCCGCAGCGCAAGCACTTATGAACACAGACCCACAGGCTCACATATTTGTGAAACAACAACGTCGGTTTCAGTAAGTGGGGCAGTGAGTGAAAATGAAAGTAAATAATATATGCTCGTACTTAGTCGCCAAATGCAGAAAGTTTTATTGTGTTTTCGTGATATGCTTCCCTACACTTGCATACATGTTTGTAGTGAAGCAAATAGTTTTATATCCTTTTGCTTTTGTTGAGCATTCAATAGTACCGTAATTCTGAGGGTATCCTCTTTCTTGTACTTAAGCCTTTATTATAGGCTATTTTTTATTTTTTGCCGCTTGTACCTAAATTTTAGCCAAGTTTGCATTAAAATCAAGCGGAGCAAGGATAACCGATTTTTGTTTATTTTATTTAATAAATAAATAAAAATAATGCATCAAATTGACTTTAATAATATTGTACAACTTTGCTGCCGCCATTTTCCAATAGATGTCTCTAGGGTCAAGCACTGATCGATTAAATCGTTTTATCTCGATCTTGGACATTTGTGTCAACATTAACCCAACAAAATATTTGTAGAGATCTGTTTGCATCCCAAACTGTCACCGTATTTATTTATAGGTTATTTATTTTGAAAAAATTTGCATTCCTTTCTGCCCGTGGTCGATCTCCAGGCTAACCTCCGCAAAACGGTGTTTATCGGTGAGAATATTTTTACTGCTTAAAATCAGCGCAAAAATTAATTTGTGAATGACTTTTAAAAATTTTAATTTTTGACAAAATGTCGGCTTCCCAAAAATTTTTTTTTTATAAAAAAGTTCACATTTTAGAGTGGGCTTAATTATTATCGAAATCTTATTCCTTTAATCATCAACTGACAACGCATATTCGTAGTTAACATGACCTCGAAAAGTTTTGAGGCGTTCGGTCCAAACGTTTAAGAGCATATTTTCTCGTCTTTCCGAGAGAAACGTGTTTAGAGTTTTGGAAACCGATTACACGGCTCGAACCAAAATCGAAAAATTCTGTCATATAAGCCCATATCTCAGAAACTATTTTCGGATCAACTCTTTTAGATAATATTTTCAAATATACATATGTACATATGATATGCATACATATACAAAAAACTTTGATTTTTTGAGCTTCGTATTTGGAAATAGATTTTCGAAGAATAATTCTTCTCGACTTATGTTCTTTATGTTCCAGCCAAAATTTTGGACAATCAATTTCTCTCTTCCTGATCTCAGTAAAACTATCTATATAACGTGAATGCCTTAGTTTTTGTAAAAACATTCAATATTTTTTATTATAATTTTCATTATTTGGATTTCTCTCTTAACATTTCCAACACTACAAAA